GTAAGCAGATTATAGCGCCTAAATATTTCTTTACAAGAGTCCCTCTTATTAATATTAAAAATTAATCGAAGTACTTTTTTCTGCAGGACGAATAATCTGTTAATCATTGTTGCCTGTCCCCATATGATTATATTGTTAGTGAGGTGAGAATAAACTAGCGCGTAGTACATATCTAAGAGTGAGTTTAGATGGATGTTAGGCTTTAATTTCATTATTCCAAAATAGGCACTGTTAATTTTGTTGCAAATGTGATTTATTTGTGGTTGACAGCTTAACTTACTATCAACATGAGTTCCTAAGAAGACAGTTTGATCTGAAAAGCTATCAATATCCATGCGTGGTTTCTTGTTGAAGAAATGAATTTCAACAGTCTTATCTTCATTCAAAATGAGGCGGTTAGACTGGCACCACTTGCTCATTTAACTTTTGACTTTCTCAATAGATTCGAGAAGATCGTGCGGTGTCGTGGCACTGACGACGATAGATGTGTCATCCGTATAATTAATCATGAAGCCAGACAATTTCAAGTCATTTATGTATACAATGAAGAGCAGTGGTGCAAGTACTGAGCCTTGTGCCGCACCTATATTCACGGAATATTGAGTTGACGTATGACCATTGACTTTCGTCTGTGAGGAAAGACTGGATCCAGCTGAGAATAAAATCCCTTATACCTAAGCAGTACAATTTTTCCACGATAAACGAAATATCCATTATATCGAATGCTTTCGAAAGGTCAAAAAATAGTCCAGCAACGTATCTGTTTTCGTCTACTTCTCTATATATATGGGAAAAAAGTCAAAGGTCGCCGTTTCTATAGATCGTGAGGGTCTAAAACCATGCTGGGTATCTGATAAGACATCATAGCGATTGAGAAAACATAATATACGTTTATACAGACATTTTTCAATGACTTTAGAGATCATCGATAAAAGTGATATTGGTCTGTAGTTTTTCAAGGTCTGTACGGTCACCCTTTTTGTATACGGGAATAGCAATAGCTAGTTTCAAGCATTTCGGGAATTTACCTTGCTTCACTGATTTATTAATAAGGACTGACAGGGGGGAAGATATTTCACGTTTTACAAACTTTATCACACGCGTTGAAATTCCATCTTTTCCACTGCTTCTTTTATTTGGAAGGCTGCTGATTACTTCCACGATCTCTTCAGTGGTGACATCCTCGTATAACATTGATGATGCTACTCGGTTTTGTGATGGACATCTTGATGGGTCGTTACATTTAAAGTGTTCTGCTAACTTGCTCTCTGCTATTGTGGAAAAATACTTGCCAAACTTGTCGGGTACGAGGGTGTCAGTAAATTCTTTGTCTTCATTTTTCAGCACTATTTGATGATGTTTCTTTACTCTTCCGGTTTCTTCATTGACTATCTCCCATATTTTTCTAGTTTTGTTGTTGCTGGATGTTATTAGACTAGACAGTTGCTTGAGGAAAAATTTTATTTTTAATAATAATCGAGAAAATATATTTATTTTTTTTATATCGAAACAGCCGCGCAGGCAGAAGCCTAAATGCCGGAACACCGCGGCTGCTATGATGATCCCAAAGAAATTTTGTTAATACGATTTTTGAACTGCCTAAGGTTAGTAGAACTGGGAAAAGCTTCCTCCCGTAGATTGTTCCACAATCTAGACACCCTCGGAACAAAGGAGCGGTCGTATCGGCCAGTTCTGGATGTACGAAGTTTGACACGGTTAGGATGGGACGCCGAAGTCAAGCGGGTCTGTCTGGCAGGCACATCGCGCGGCGGCATCATGGAAGAGAGCTCTGAGGAGCAAAGCCCGTTGGTGTAGCGATAGAAAAGAGCTAGATCGCCGACGGCCCGCCGGTGCGAAAGAGTCCTGAGACTGTCTGTTAGAGAAGAGTCATCGATCAGTCGGACCGCCCTCCTCTGGACAGCATCGAGCATGGACAATGTAGTCGGGGCGGCAGCACCCCAAATGTGTCAGCAATACTCGAGGCTAGGCCTTATCTGGGCCTTGTATAGAGTGAGGTCATGCGGAGAAAAGTACTTCTTAGCCCTAAACAAATAGCCTAGCTTTTTCCCAGCAGCTGCAGCTATTGAAGAGATGTGTTCGTGCCACATCAGTTCCTCGGTGATCTGGACTCCGACCAGCCGAAATGAATGGCTCTTTGGTAGAACTCGACCGTCCATCGAAACTTTATGAGCGCTAGGACGCTTTTTGTTCGTCAAAGTACAGTACTGTGTTTTGGAAGCATACAAGATTGTTACGGTCCCCAAGCAGTGATAGCTTCCAGGTCTCTTGTCAGAGGAGAAGTCGTCGCTAGTCTTCTTTCTTCCAGCTCAGCGGCAGACATCGGCTTGTCACTCTGAATTCCTGCATGTAGAGTGCTGTCATCAGCGAAGCTGTGGATTGGGTTGATCGTGCAGAAAAGGAGGTCGTTGATATGTAAGAAAAACAGTGTTGGAGCCAAGACCGATCCCTGGGGAACACCCGCGTTGACGTTGTGGGATGAAGAGGAGAATCCGTCAATTACGACGGATATCTTGCGGCCAGAGATAAAGTCAGCCACCCATCTGCAAAGCTTTTCTGGGAGGCCGTAGGATGGAAGTTTGCTTAAGAGGGCAGCGTGCCACAGCTGATCGAACGCTTTCGTGATGTCAAGAGCAACGACATGAGCCTCACCATGAGACTGGATGAGTTTACTCCACAGTTGCGTGACGTAAGCTAGGAGGTCCCCTGTGGATCGTTGGTGCCGGAAACCGTACTGCCTGTCGCTAATCAAGCTGTAACGTTCGAGGTAGTCCAGAAGCTCGCGATTTATGCACCTCTCCATCACTTTACTTATAACAGAAAGCAGAGCTATAGGCCTGTAGTTGTAAGGGTCGGTTTTAGATCCTTTTTTTGGGATGGGCTGTACATGAGCAAATTTCCAGTTTTCAGGGAAGGTGCCGGATTCATAAGATATCTGGAAGAGACGCGAAAGAACTGGAGCAAGCTCTGCTGCACATCTCTTCAGTACAATGGCAGGAATCAAGTCCGGACCAGAAGCTTTGTTGATGTCGAGCGACAAGAGCACTCGTCTTACGGTCTTATGCCTGAATGTTACCTCCCGCATAGTGTAGGGAACCCTTTGAATTGACGGCACTTGGGCGTTGGTGGGGACGTCCATGGTGGAGTTGGCAGCAAAGATCTTGGCTAGCACTTCCGCCTTGGCCTTTGAGTCGAATACAATAGTTGCATCCTGACACGTAAGTGGTGCAAGGCTACTGTGGGAGAAGTTCTTTTCAATCTGCTTGGCCAGCGTCCAGAAAGACCGACTGCCATTGCGCTGCGACATTACCCTGTGCCTAACTTTTATATCATGCTGGTTTTTGGCATTGCGTACCGCTTCGTTATATTGTTTCTGGAGGTGACGTCCGCTGTCTGTTCTCTACAGTGGGGTTTTGTAAGTAGGTTCTGTGGGCCTTGATCTTCTGCTGGCGAGCAGTGTCACACGATTTGTTGAACCAGCCGTTGGGCCCTGGTTTAGGAACTTTCACTGTGTGAGGGATGTATTCCTCCATTCCGACGTGGATAATTTCGGTTATTGAAGAACAGACAGTCGACGCATCCGCGTCAGTGAAACAGACATCTCTCCAAGGAAAGCTAGAGAAGAAGTCTCTGAGCCCCTCCCAGTCGGCATGTCCGTAATGCCAAGTTTTGCGGCCTGTGCGAGTTTCTGCTGCCACAGCGGCTTCTGACCGAAACCTAACCTCCACAACACCGTGATCTGAGTTACCCAGGGGGGACAGGACAGCAGTGCTGTAAGGGGCAGGATGCGTGGTCAGAAAGAGACCCAGCAGGCTACTGGCGTGTGACGAGACGCGGGGGAAAAAAGTAGGGCTCGTCACCAGCTGGGTCAGCCCTTGACTAAGAGCGAACGCTTCGACTGCACGACCTGCTGCATCGGTCTTATTTGAGCCCAACCAAAGCTCATTATGGGCATTGAAATCACCGAGAAGAGCTACCTCTGAAGCGGGGTGATTGACGTTCAGGAAGTCGATCTGGACGGCGAGGTATTCGAGTAGGTCATCCCGGTTATGGTTCGAGGAAGAGCGATAAAGGCAGCAAATATATTTGGGTGATGTTTTGGAGTTGAGGCGAAGCCACAGAATGTCCTTCCGGTCTGATTCCAAAGAAAGATCCCTGGAGCAGGAAAGACTGCTACGGACAAAAGCCACAACTCCCCCGTTCTTTCTTAGATTGGAGTGCACCTCGTAGTTTGGGAAGTTGAGATGATTAATCGGTGTAGTCTCTGAGATTTTTGTCTCCGCCAAGAAAAGCACGGCGGGACGATTGGATTGCAGGTAGTGATGAACAGCATCAATGTTGCTGTTGATCCCGCAGATGTTCGAAAAACAAATTTTATCTTCGATGTTGTTCCCTCGAGCCCACCCTCCACCCGGACATTCCGAGAGTGGAGTGAGTTTACGTCCGGAGTTTTTAGTGCTCGAGCGATCCATCATCATTAATTTCTTTGTTTTGGTAGATAACCGACTGCATAGCTTAGGTGTGGAAACATGCGGACATTTATAAGACACCCTGGGAAAAGTTAGCGGGTGGTACTGCCTCGGTCGACTGGTCCTTGTCTACCACCTTCTTTTTACGTGTTAGTGATGTTAAATAGACCTAAAGTGGCCCGTTGGCGGACTTGTACCGCCACCCGGCAATCGGTACTGAGGTATTCCTTAACGCGTGCACAATCACTTGGACGGGAAGAAGTTGTATACTGGATACAACAACTTCTGGAACAAGCATTTGACAAACCGTCAAAAAAAGGGTCGCACTGATCCGGCTCATGTAGCAAGAGATGACGGACGCCGAAAGCGCCCCACGCAAACTTCCATTGCCGCTAGGTAAGCTCGGTTGGCTTTGACGGGGGCATCAAGCTTTTTCCGATTCTCAGAATTCTTATTGCTAAAAATAAACGTGCGCTTCGCCACTGCTTTTTTGACGACTTTCCTCAACGATCCACTTTATTGACATTTGCCAGTACACAGCAATAAACGACACGCGAAAAAGTTGAACGTTTTTTTTTTTCTGACGTTCAAGGCTAGCCGGATATTGGTCAAATAATTATAGTATGTACGAACCTTCACGAAAAGTAGTTCAGACAGCGTACGAGAAAAATTTTAAACAAAACATTTCATCGCTTCCAAGTTTTGAACGTTTGAAAAAAATCTGTTCAGTGATGAGAGAAAAAGTCGACCTACAACTAGGCCAGGTATTTCTTTATATTATTATTGAATAAACGTGGAGTGCTCTTGGGCATAAACCAGGTCAGCTGAACGTATCTTATACTGAATTTATACTGATATGACAAAATTAGGTTTTGCCTTTTATTTGGAACATGCAACACATATAATAAACAAATGTCTGGACGATGAGTATTTTTCGAAGGAATGAAACGAATCACTTTTCATTCCAGTTCCAAAAATTGTTTCTCCTAAACCTTACAGTTATATACGACCGATCAGTTTACTCCACGTCTCGTCCAGATTACTTGAAAACGTTCTCAATTTAATACTTATTTAACTATAAATAATCTACTTCCAAATCATCAATCAATGACAGCCCTTGTATCGATAAATGATGACATCATCACTGCCTTTGATAAAGGTTATGCTACACTTTTATTGCTTGTTGATTTTTCAAAAGCTTACGATAAAATTAACTACGAACTCTTATCGGCAAAACTGAACTACTTAGGACTTTCCGAGAAGACTGTGAATTTTTGCGATAACAAAATCTGGCGTACATCATACATCATACTCACAAATTTTAAAGCAAAATACTCCTAAAATCAATAGCAAAAACAAGAACAACAATGACATGGAATCCATATTAGTTACTCCCGAAAGGACCCAACATTATAATGACACCAGAAAAGACCTAACTAGTAACATTAATCTAGCAAGTATTGAAGTCAAGATAGAGAAAGTAAATAATTATAAAAACGGCGGCGTCGAAATTCAAGTTGAGCAATGTTATTACCAGAAACTCAAAAATGAACTAGAAACTAAGTTGAAGGGAAAATACAATATATCAGGAGCAAGAGAAATGAGACCGAAAATTAAGATTATAGGCTACAAAGCTGAAAAAAAACCTTCAGAAGCAGAAATTAAAGAAGAAATCATATCCCAGAATACATTCATTAATGAAAACGAAATCGAAATCACTATTGTACGACACATACCATTCCGAAATTCTTATACTATATTCGCTGAAGTTTCTGGAGAGCTATATAGAGACATATTTATCAACAAGAAATCAAGAATACTACTAGGTTGGCAAAACTTATTTGTCTATGACAATAACCAGATATCGCAGTGTAGAAAATGCTTGAAGTTTGGTCACACAGACAAAAAATGTAGGGGCGCGGAAATGTGCATTAAATGTGGACAAGCACATAGAAGTGAAATTTGTACTGTAAACATTTTAAAATGTTCTAACTGTATGAACTATAACGTTAAGCATAATAAGAATAATGATGTTGGTCACTCGCCCACAGACAAAAAATGCCCGTCGTATTTATATTTTCAAAACAGTATTCATCCAGAATAATGTTTTGAGCGTTTAGTTCTTTTTACGTTTTTTGAGCTACATATCATTTGCAAAATTTTACATGGATAGTTACGTAAATAATTTTCAGGTTAATGATATCAATACAAATATTGCTCAAGATGCAAATGCTCTTAATAAATGGTTAGAATATTCTAATTTCAATGTTAGCTTATATGACATGAATATACGAAGCCTAAACCAACATTTGACTGTTTTAATATCTTCCTAACTACAATTAAACACAAATTTGATATAATAATATTAACAGAAACTTGGAAAATTAATGATGTATCTTTGTTCTGTTTGGGAGGTTATGATACGCTTTACAATAATGGTACATACAACCAGAATGATGGGGTGGTAGTATATGTAAGAAATGATATCAACTACAGATGTGATTTTGTTAAATTTGATGACGGTATCACAGTGTTGGATTTGATATTGAGAATTAATAACAAAAGTGTAAAAGTCACATCTGTCTCTCGACCACCATCATCAAATCCTTATACATTTGTAGAAAATCTTGAAAAATTTTTGTTAGATAACAAAAATGCCATACAGTCACACCACATCATAATACGAGATATGAATATTAATATACTCCAACATACCAAATTAGTAAATAAATACCTCACTGTAATGCAGAGCAATGGATTCATATCAAATATAAATTTACCAACAAGAGTAGTCAATAATAGTTCCAGTTCTTGCATTGATCATTGTTTCATCAAAAAATTTTCAAATTTCTTTCCGTACATACCGTTAATTGCTGAAAACCATATTACCGATCATTTACCCACTGTAATACTTATATCATCACCAGAAAAAAATAAAAGTAGATCCATCTCCAATAATGAAACAGTGAAATTAAGGTGTTTTGTCGATAATAAAAACTACTTGCAAATATCAAATTAGAATCGTGGATAGCAGTGTAATGTGCAACGAATTTTAATGATGCTGCAAACACACTCATTGAACGCATAAAATATTTAATTGAATGTAGTACAAACAGAGTTAAAATTAAACATTTTGACAGAAGCAGGAATCCCTGGATAACTAAAGGTTTGATAAAGTCTGCCAACAAAAAAGAGGAACTATACAAAATAATGAAAGCATCGCCATGTGCAGATATAGTACCTCCCATAAATATAAAGAATATAAAAATATTTTTATCAATCTAGTTAGAGAAGCAAAACGCCAATTCTATCTAAAAAAATACAAGATGCCAAATCTGATCCAAGAAAACTGTGGTCGGTTGTCGATCACTTAACTAACAAAGACGTTCAAGAAAAGTCAAATATTGATGAAATTAAGAATCGTGATGGAACAATATTAACAGATAAACGACGAATATCCGATGCATTCTTAAATTTTTTCATTAATATTGGAGAAAATTTAGCATCCAGTATTAAAAAAATGGTTTCGAACGAAAAGTTCACAAAAACCCAACTTCCCAATTCATTCTCTTTAGAAAGCGTCAGTCCGATTGAAGTACAAGAAGCTGTCCTATCACTTAAAACCAAAAAAAGTCCTGGTGTAGATGGTGTCAAAGCCGACCATTTAAAAATAATAGCCTACGACTTTACGTCATTAATTGGTGTTTCCAATCTGGAATTTGTCCTGATGCATTTAAAACAACTGTTATTACTCCTGTTTATAAAAGCGGTGACAGAATGGAAACATTAAATTATAGACCCATATCAGTACTATCGAATATAGCCAAAATTTTCGAAAAATTACTACAAAAAAGGATATTACAATTTTTGGACAAAAACAAAATTATATGTTCTGACCAATATGGATTTAGAAAAGGAAAATCTACTACAGATGCAATTTTGGCTGCAATGGATGAAATTAACTCTAATGTCAACAAAAAGATACCTACTATTGGTATCTTTGTTGATCTAAAAAATACCTTTGATACGGTTAACCATGTCGAGCTTCTGAAAGTTATGGAAAGATTGGGATTTAGGGGAGCGTCACAAATCCTTTTAAAAAATTACCTTTCAAGTCGGGCACAGACTGTCAAAATCACTAACACTTACAGTAAAAAAATGTACATCAAGTGTGGTGTGCCTCAAGGAACAGTACTAGGCCCACTATTATTTAGTCTCTACTTAAATGACTTATTCAAAATTAACATTTCTGGAAAGATTATATGTTTTGCAGATGACACCCTCGTATTATATAAAGCTGATGACTGGAACACACTGAAGCAAATAGCTGAAAAGGATTTTATAAGGATCATTGACTGGTTTGATACTAAAATTTTAACAGTTAACTTCAAAAATCAAAATTTATTGCATTTACATCTTATGCAAAATTTTTACCTACCTTCGAACAAATTTCCGTTAATTATCATGGCCAAAAGACCAAAATCGATAGAGTTAACACTTTGAAATATCTTGGAATATTTATAGACTCACATCTAAGGTGGGATAACCATATTAAATATGTTATCAAAAAAGTTAGAAATGTTGACTATAAACTCAAAATGCTTGCTAACATTCTTACAGAAAGTTATCTGCGAATCCTATACCATGCCTTAGTTGAAACCCATATAATATACGGCATCACAGCCTGGGGTGCCGCCTGCAAGACATATATTTCTGACCTGAATATAGCACAAAAAAACTGTTTTGAAAGCCATTTTCCATAAGCAAAGATTATATCCAACGAACAACTTATATCAAGAAATAGGGATACTTGATACAAGACAACTTTATTTCTTACATGCCACCACCTTATACCATAAGCATTGTAATAAAAAGAAAAAATCCTATAAACACGAGCATAACACACGATTTCGAATAGGCTCATCTAATATCCAAAGACAACACAAAACATTATTCAAAAAATCATTTAAATTCTTGGCAGCTAAATTATATAATGTAGTACCAAACGAAATAAAGATACTTAATTTTGGAAAAAAATTTAGAAGAAAATTGAAAGACTGGGTTAGTAATGTGCAGCGAATGACTATACATAATTATATAGAAAACTAAAACTACAAAATTCCAATTACATTAATACCTTTTAAATTTAACAATAATTGTTATACACATATATGATTGAATGTTAGTTATTAAGATATAAACCACACGCAGGCGATGCCTTCTGTGGTTTTTTTATATTTATTTGCCCATTTTTTGTATTTTGGCGAATAAATATTATTATTATTATTATTATATACTATTCCTGCCAAGACCAATATAACGTATATAGCAAAACATTTGCAGAATATCCAACATTGTCGTCTGATAAACAAGTAAACAACAACAATGGTCACACATCAGGCCTCATTACGGCTATAAACTGGATTTATTCAAATATTTATAACTTACAATTGTTAATAAAACAATGCCCAATAAGAAACCCTTATACTTGAAACGGAAATCAATTCCTCTTGATAATATAATCCACTCCAACAGAATTATTCGTTTTCCAGATATATTCACTATATCTCGACATACTTCTATATTCTCAAGATCTTTCACATTTAATGCGATCTCCTTATATAACTGGAGAAGTTTAAAGTAAATTTAAAGTTGCGTCTTCTGCATATGTAATTGTAATGGTTTCTAGTACTGAATGTTGACATTGCTTTATTTTAAATTCTTTGGTGAATATGTACATATTTATTTGTGCATAGAGGTTGAG